GGGAGGCGCTGTGAAAAGAAAAAAGAGAAAGTTAGGATCTTCTTCTCGGGCCATATAGGGTAGCCAACCATCATCTTCTGCAAGAGGACCATTTGTTATGCTTTCCGAGGAGATGCGGCAGATTTACGACCTAGTAGATGACCTTCCGCAAGGACCTGGGGAAACATCTAAGGGACTCTCTACATGAATTTTAAAAGTATCTTGATGATCAGAAGAAGAAGGGGGGTCACCTTAAGAAGCTGGAGAAAGCATACATTGATTTGGCCACAACGCACGGTACTTTGAGTACTTTTCATGCCAAGCTGGTAAATGCACACACCAGGATGAAGAATACAGATAAATTCTTCACCCGCATGTGGAAGGGTGTGAAGGGGCTATGAAAAGTCCTAAAACCTCAAGAGTCAGTGCCATCAACCGAGCCGGAAGATGTTGATGATGCTCCAGTTCATTGGTCCTAGGAAGGAGAAGAGAAGGAGGATGAGACTGAGTCCTACACCGAGGAGAGCACACTATGCAGTATTCATGGAGCACTTTCCACCATTTTACTCTATTTTGTTTAGTTGCATTGAATACATTGCAATATTTCTAGTTGGGCGTGGCTTCTTGTATAACTGTGGATATGGTATATTGATATTTATTTTCATGTGATGTGTTATATTAGTATGTTTACTAGCTTCTTGAATGTTTGTATTTTATATAGTATGTTTTATTGACTTAATGTCTATTAGCTTCTTGACTTTTTTAATAAATAGTATATTTTATTTTGTTGGCAATATCCTTGGTTTTCTTTGTACCACGGTTCTTTTTCGAGGATGCCAATTCTTTTTTTGAACCGGGACTATTCTGGTAAATTATTGTGTCGACTTTTCCTGATGATGGATAGCTAGGCGACTTTCTTAAGGGTATAGTCTTGTAGTTTAGATACAGTTTTTTTTAGTTTTGGAAGAATAAGTGAGTTGGTGTTTGTGCCCATTGGCAAATTTGTGGCTTGCTTGGTACCAACATGATTTAAACCTCGGCATATGAATTCTTGATCTTTGAAAAAGAAAAATGATTGAAGTAAAGATCACTGTCCTGACTTTTAGACTCAATTTTTGGCTCTTTCATTCATTAAATAGTCTCTTAGGCTATATATGACTTTTTTGAGTTCAATGGTTTCAATTGGATTTTGGATTTGTATTCTGCTCGAGTTTTCGTGTGCCATGTGTGGTAAGATTTATTGTGAGTTCTTTTGCATTATTTGTAGTTTAGAACTTGCCCGGAATGTCTTCAAGGCGAAATCCTAGACTAACTTGATTTGAAAAATGATGTTAGGCCTTCCTTGGACCGTTATTATGCCTTCAGTTTCCTACCCTTGCATATTTTCCCTAGTCAACCCCTTTTGAGCCTTTAAACTTTTTCTTTGAAAACCATATTACAAGCTTTAACACTTTATTCGTTATTGATCTATCTTTTGGCATCCTACCTTCCTAAGTACTTTGAAAGTGTAAGCATAGGCTAAAAGCGTAAGTTTGGGGGTGAAGGTTGGAAAAGTTGCGGTGTGAAAATTGCTTAAAAGGTGAAAAGTAATAAAAACTAAAAAACAATAGTGGAACCTTCCTTGAGTTTTGAAAAAAAAAATGAGTAAGAAAGAAGAAATAGGAAGGAAAAATAAGAAATTGTGAATAAATGAAAGACTAAGTGATGAAATAAATAATGACGAAAGGGCGGAAAAGTTCTTGAAGGAAGTATAATTTGATATTTTAACTTTTGTAGTGCTTAGTGAGGTTTTGAGTCATTCTAACCAAAATTGTGCCCTACCTTAACCAAAAGCCTAAACTACAACCCTTTAAGTCTTAATTGATTTTGAACCAAGTTTGTCTACATTAGTAGAGAAATACTTGAAGGGCAAGCCTATGATACTACTTGTATGCATTTGAACATCTTGGTGAGAGAGAGAGTTAATTTTTTCCATTTGATATCCCATATATGTTTTGAATTGCAATTTATGAGTTTGGGATTCTCTCTTAAGTGTGAGGGCACATGAGATTTGAGTTGTGAATTTAATCCGATTTTCAATAGGGAGGAATAAACAAAGGAAAGTTATTTGTGATAAAAAGGTAAATTTTGAAGATTTAGTGTCATAACTTGATTGCTACTTTGATTAACATAGTGTTTGAGCACTTGAATTGTAATGAAATTTATGAGAAGTTTTTGGTGTTTCATATGCTTTGGATTAATTGTTGGTACCAATCAAAGTCATGTGTTTGTACTTAAAGTAGACGTTTTGACTTGGTATAATATTGATACACTATTGAGTTAAATACTTGGAAGGGGATTTTGTGCTTTGATTGATTGAGGACAATCAATAGTTTAAGTTTGGGGGTTTGATAAGTTGGTATTTTGCCAACCTATCTCGTCTTTAAGCTTAGATTTTTGCTATGTTTGATTGATAAAATTGCGTGTTTAATGTCGTTTACTTCTATTTTACAGGTTATATGTGATTTAGAAGTAATCATGAAGAAACCAAGTGGAAACGAGTCAAAAAGAAGAAATCTAGAAAATGGTCTCAGATGTCGCAATTGCGACATCAACTTGGCAAATGTGAAGTCAACCAAGTCAAGCAATGTTCGTATATGCGAAATAAGCGTCGCAAATGCGAAGTCAAACCAGGCAGTCAAACTTTGCAAATGGGAATCCCTTCATCGCAAATGCGAAACCAAGTGCACAGTGCCTAGTTCAAAATTGCGAACATACAGATCGCAAATGCAATGTTCAACAGTGATGTCAAGGTTCGCAATTGCGAACTAATATTCGCAATTGTGAATGTCGCGCTTCAGTTCTGGGCACTTCTGCCATTTCACATTTTCTTCATCCCAAACTCTTTAATACACGACCTAGATTATTGAAAATATATCCTTGGCATCTTTGGCTAGTCTCTACATATGTTTGACAGCTCTTGACTAGAGAACACAAGTTTGGGTGCTAGGGTTCTTGCACACACACTTGGGCCTTGAATATTTGAAGCTTTTTGTTGAGAATTTCTTACCCATTTATGTTTATTTCTTCATTTCCTTTCTTTGTATTGAATATATAAGTATGTAATATTTTTTCCAACACTTGAATCTTATTTATGGGAATATTCATACTTAAAATGTAGATTAAATATCTTGTTGTGCTTATGTATTGAACGATTTTTATTTATTATAAAGTGAGTTATTGTTTCTTTAATTAATTTTGCTCTTTAATATTTCAAAAGGGATTATCTAACCTTAGGACTCGCCCATTCACTTCGAATTAATTTTGGGAAAGATAATTTCGGGTTGGGAAAGATTAATTAACAAGAACTTGAGGCGTTAATCCTCACTTTATAGATTCTATCTAGGGATAGAATTGAACTACTTGTAGACATAGTCGGGTGTGCTTAATATCTTAATTGTTTTAGGGATAATTCAATTAGAAAGTCTTGTTAGTCATCGGAAGAAGCTAATATAGATTTATTACCCGAGGTTAATTAACATAAACTCACTCATATTTGTAAAATCGTAAAATAAATTGGATCGTTACTTGAGTGTAATTCCCAATGCATACATGCTTGTAGCCATTGATCATTTCTTTCTTTCTAGGTTAGTTTACATTTTTGCAATTAGTTATAAATATTTTCCAAACCCTTTTAAGTGTTTGGCTTAGCATAATAAGTGATAATTCTCTTACACACCTAATTGCCTACATAGTGTTCTCTGTGAGATTCGACCCGGACTCATAGTTGCGTAAATTATATTGCATTCGACTGTGTCCATTTACTTTTTAGTAGTGGATTTGGATGTCATCACATAGACCCAACCAAAACAAACTGATTCCCAAGCTTTTCTCCAATTTCATAACCAAACTTACTAGTGGGAAACTTAGAGGTTACCTGTTCAGTTTCAGAAGAAACTGGTTCTTCCTCCTCAGTCGCAGACCAGATCATCAGAATTTTGTGGTTCTTCTGCTTGACTGGCTTGTAGATTCTCATTCAATTTCATGGCATGTTCTTTGCTTGCTACTGTTTTTCGTGCAATTATTTTGATATACTTTTTTCTTGGGAGTTTGGGTGGTTAAAAGTGTGGGTTAAGGTTCTTTGAATGGTGAGGAAAGGTTTTTAGAGTTTTTAGGATTCTCATGGGTGTTTGCCATTTGATCTGTTCAGAAACTTGAGAGAAATGGAGAGAGTTTTGAGGTTTTTGAGATTTTGATCTTTCGAAAATATTTGAGATAAGAGGGTAAGGTCAAATCAATTTAAAGAGGAAAAGGTTGAGTTTATAACAATACCTTTTTGAAGTCTAGAAGTCTAATCACATTGGAAGTTTCAGTTTAAAAAGATGTTGGACTCTTCTCCAAATATTTCGGCAATTACGACGCGTGGGACTCTTTGTGAAACTTGTTAGTTTGTAACTAATTGGTTCAAAAGTAGTTTGGGATAAAGTGAGAATATTTTCAGTTCATGATCCATATGTAGTTATTTCAAATTATGCGGAGCCTAGAATACATACCTTATAAGCTCGATGAACCAGGTTCTTCACTGAAAGTTCTCTTGTGTTAGACTGGTTTTTTCCAAGAAAATAAGGATAATATCATTAGACATCAGTGAGACATTTTAGCACATGGAAAAAGAGTATACTAATAAAATCATGAGACTGAGCAATATCTAATCTAATTATTCACAAAATTTACAAATTATCTGACCAATCATTGAGTTAGAACCGATTTATTTTAGGTGATCTTAATCATTCTTACTTCTAACTTGTTCCTTTTAAAGTGATCCCTACTCAAAGATTTTGTGAAGCTGTCAGCAATTTCCTTATCAGTATCACAAAATTCGACGGTGATCAAACACTACTCAAAATTATCCCTTTGAAAATGATGTCTAACATGTAGTGCTTAGTTCTTTTGTGATAGACCGGGTTCTAGGTCATACTGATTGAACTAGTATTGTCACAAAATATGGGGATGCAACCTACATCAATTCTAAGTTCATTAATTTACTGTTTAATCCACAATAATTGAGCACAACATGAGGCATCAACCACACACTCAGCTTCATCAGTAGACAAAGCCACAGAGTTTTGCTTTTTGGTAGCCTAAGACACAAGACATGAGCCAAGAAAATATGTCATACCTGAAGTGCTCTTTATATAAACAAGAAAACCTGTATAATCAGCATCAACATATCCCACTAAGTTGAAATTACTACTTTTCGGATACCATATGCAGAGATCAGTGGTGCCTTTTAGGTATCTCAAGATCCTCTTGACAGCCGCCAAGTGAGAATCCTTTGGATTAGCCTGGAATCTTGCCCAAATGCCTACACTGAAAACAATGGTTGTTCTACTAGCAGTGAGATATAACAAAGAGCCAATCATGCCCTTATACAACTTCTGATCAGCAGATGAGCCAGGTTCATCCAAATCCAATTTTGAAGATGTTGTAATATGAGTGTCGATTTCTTTGGATGTTCCTTCCTGATTTTGTTGCCGAGGAATAGGTTCATGGACAGGTTCCCTTGAGTTTTGAGGATCAGTTCCTCTCTAGTTAGTTCCCCCTATCAGGTTTCCCTAAGTGGAAGGACCTGGTCCATCACCTGTTCCTTCTTGTGATGCAGCTTCAAGACGGACTGTGGTTTCATATTTGAATTTCTTATCAGTTCAATCTCTTCAGTATCTTGTTCCTGCCTCTCAGAAAGAATGTTAGTTTCATAAAAAAATAACATATACACTTTCTTCTACACATATATTTCTTTTATTGTATATTTTTTATGCTTTACTATGTGAAAAGTATCCCAAGAATACTCTCTCATCACTTCTGGGATCAAACTTACCTAGGGAGTCTTTTCCATTATTGTGCTTAAAGCACTTGCATCCAACTGCCTTAAGGTGGGATATATTTGTCTTTCTCCCTTTAAGTAACTCATATGTAGTCTTCTCAACTAGAGGTCTAGTCATACACATATTTATGATGTAGCATGAAGTATTCACAACTTCTGCCCAGAAGCTATGAGGCAACTTACTAGCAAGTAACATAGTCCTAGCCATTTCCTCCAAGGTCCTATTCTTCTTTTTTTTCAACTACTCCATTTTATTGTGTAGTTCTAGGAGCAGAAAAGTTATGATCTAGCTCATCACAAAATTCAGAAAATTTAGCATTATCAAACCCAGTACCATTATCAGACCTAATTGATACAAGTTGATGACCTAGTTGTTTTTGAGTTTTTCGAACAAATAAAGTGAACATGTCAAATGCTTCATCTTTAGATGTTAAAACAATGTCCAAGAAAATCTAGAGTAATCATCAACAGGCACCAAACATATCTCTTACCACCTCTGCTCATTGTCCTTATTGGTCTACACATACCTATATGGACCAGTTCCATCGACCTGGTAGTACTCACCATTCGTTTTTTGCTTTTGAAAGAAGTTCTTACTTGCTTCGCCCTTGAACAAGCCTCACAAACTTTATCTTCCTTGAACTTAATGTTAGGGAGCTCTATCACCAAGTCCTTGGAAACTAGTTTGTTGAGTTGACTTGGACTGGCATGTCCAAGTCTCTTGTGCCAAAGGAGGGACTCATTGTCCAATACACTTAAGCAAGTGAGTTCATGTCACGACCCGAAATTCTCACCTTCGAACCGTGATGGCGCCTAATGTTTCACTTGTTAGCAAGCCAACGTTAAAATAATATTATCTATTTTAAAATAATTTTTAAATTTATTAATAATAATTGAAACAATTGTGGAAGTTAAGTCTGAAATATAGTGATTAATCCATACAAATAACTGTGTCTAAATACCATTCCAGAATTGGTGTCACAAGTGCACGAGCTTCTAGAATAATACAAATAAAGGTCAGAAATAAATAAGCTATCTGGAAATAAACACACAGCAAAAGTAAAATAGACAGGGACTTCAGAACTGCGGACGCCATGCAACTATACCTCAAGTCTCCTCTAGTAGATGAAATCCGAGCAAGTCTATGGTACACCGCTGGGACCAACTCTGAAATATGCCCAAGAAGTGCAGAGTGTAGTATCAGTACAACCGACCCCATGTACCGGTAAGTGCTGAGCTTAACCTCGACGAAGTAGTGACGAGGCTAAGGTGGGTCATTTACATTAACATGTACATAATACTAGTAACAACAACAAATAATAGAAATAAATTAGGTAACTCATTTATAATAATTGAAGCCAACTCAACAGTCAAAATCCATTATTATTTCAATCAATTTCTGTTATAGCGTGCAAACCGCTTCCACAATATATTCATTTTCAATCCTCTCATATAATTATTTTAATTAAGTATATATTGACTTTTAAATAAGTCTAATGCGGCGTGCAATCCGATCCCCCAATATTGATTTTTAAATAAGTCTATTACGACGTGCAATCCGATGCCCCAATATTGACTTTTTAATAAGTCTGTTGCAGCGTGAAATCCGATCCCCCAAAATGGAATTTTTAATAAGTCTGTTACGGCGTGCAATCCGATCCCCCAATATGTTCATTTCCATCAATTTTATTGCGGCGTGCAACCCGCTCCTCCAATATATTTATTTACCAATTCAATTATGTTGCGACGTGCAACCCGCTCCTCCAATATATTTACTTACCAATTCTTATAGAAGAACTTTCCCCAATAAATGCAACAATTAATATAAAATTACAAGACAACAAATATATAATAATTATGATTTAATTATGAAACAAATAATGACAAATAGCAAGTTATTATGGAAATCAGGGAGAAAATAAGCAGTTTAATATTTAATATGCTAAATGTCAAATAACAATTAAGATACATAATTCAAATAGCATGTAACAATTAATGCATGAATTTAAGAATTAATATTTGACAAAGAATATGAGAGAAATAATTATTATAATAATTAATTCATGATTTAAAATAATTTATGATTTTTAAGTAATTATGCAAACAATTAATTTGATGACGTATAGACACTCGTCACCTCGCCTATACGTCGTTCACATGCATTTCACATAACAAATAGTTTAAGGGTTCTATTCCCTCATGTCAAGGTTAACCACGATACTTACCTCGCTTTGCAAATTTTAATAAATTATTCGACCACAACTTTTCCTTTCGAATTTATCTCCAAAAGCGTCAAATACATTCACAAACAATTCGATATACTCAATACGGATCATAGGAATTAATTCTATATGAATTTACTAATTTTCCGGATAAAAATCCGAAATTCATTTAAATATTCGACAATGGGACCCACATCTAAAATCTCAAAAAAACTTACGAAATCCGAACACCCATTCCGATATGAGTTCAACCATATAAAATATGTCCAATTCTGATGTCAAATGGATATTCAAATCTAAATTTTTCATTTTTTTAAAAAGTTTTACAAAAGTTCCAATTTCTTGCATATAAATCCGAAATAAAGGATGATTATAGGCATGGATTTATGAAATATAATCACTTTTGATTATAGAACACTTACCCAATTCAAAGTCGTGAATACCCCCTTTCGAATCGCCAAAGTCTAAGACTTAAACCTAAAAAATAAGTAAAAATGGCTAAGACCGAATTTTATGTATTTTTCCCAGCATTTTTGCATCTGCGGGCTATATTTTCGCACCTGCGGTCTCGCATTTGCGACAAAAATCTCGCATTTGCGAAGTGGGGCTGCCAGGCGAGGCCTCGCATCTGCGGAGGAAAAATGTGCACCTGCGCTGCCTTCCGCTCCTACAATCGAATAGTCCGCTCCTGCGGACGCGGAGGTGCGTGCAAGTTTCCGCAACTGCAAAATTTAGCCCAACTTTCCCAGGCTACTTCTGCGATGGAATGCTCGCTTCAGCGAGCTCGTACCTGCGGTCAACAATCCGCAGGTGCGATTACACCAGAAGGCCAAATTTTAGATTTTGCTTTAGTCCAATTCTTGTTCCGATTTCGATTCGAATCACACTCGGTGTACTCGGGACCCCGTCCGAATATACCAACAAGTCCCGTAACATAATATGGACATACTCGGGGTCTAAAATCTCGTCAAACAACGTTGAAATTATAATTCACACCCCGATTCGAACTTTGAGTTTTAAACTTTTAAATTTGCAAATATTGTGCCAAAACATATTAAATGAATCTGGAATGACTTCAAATTTGGCACACAAGTCATAAATGAAATAACAGAGCTATTCAAATTTTCAAAATCGGATTCTGGCTCCGATATCAAAAAGTCAACCCCGTGGTCAAACTTAGAAATCTTTAGCCTTTAAATTACTAGTTTCCGTTAATTGGTCATAACTTGAGCTAGGGACCTCCAAATTAAATTTCGGGCATACACTCAAGTCCCAAATAACGATACACACTTATCAAAACTGTCAAAACACTGATCCGGATCAGTTTGCTCAAAATGTTGACCAAAGTCAACTCAAATGAGTTTTAAGGCTTTATTTCACATTTTAATCTATTTTCACATGAAAACTTTCCGAAAAATTTTACGGATTGCGCACGTAAATCGAGAAATGAAAAATAATGCTTTTCGAGATTTTAGAATATATAATTATTTATTATTATTTAAAGATGAAATTTTGGGTCATCACAGTTCATTATCTGAGAGTGTGGACAGATCTACTACATATATGTTATTCACTCTTTTTCCCTGCAGAACTATTTTGTCGGTGGTAAGATTTATCACAAACATTTTGTAGAGGTCAAAGCTACTATGTTACCTCTATCACACAGTTATAATACACTTATTAGGTTGTATTTCAGTCCATCTAGACATTCTCAACAGAGCGAGAGTTAGACTTACCTACTTTCAAACCCCATTGATCTCACTTTTCTTTCCATTTTCAAAGGACACATTACCTCCTTTAAGGTCCTCATGTGAAAGGAATTGGTTCTTGCTTCCTATGATGTGCTTTGAGCAGCCATTATCCATGTACCATATTTGGCTTCTCTCCTTCACTTAGACCTGGAAAAAGAAATCAAGGGTTAGTCTTAGAAAGTTTTTGTTCCTTAGACTTGCTTTATCTTTTCCTGCACATTCACTCCTATAGTGTTCGGTGTTACCATAGTGAGTATAAATCTTATACTCAATGAGTGTTAGGTACTTATTTTTGGGATCCCATTTAGGTGTACAGTTCCCAAAGCCAAGTCCCTTTCTATTGCTACTATGGTGTTCTTGTAGCCATAAAAGTACACCAGAGGACCTATTCCATTTACATGTTCTATCAAGCTCATATTTAACCTTTGTCAAGTCCTCTTTCAAAACTCTTATATTTTCTTCCTTTTTTGTATAGCTCATCTTTAACCTTCGTTAAGCCATCCTCTAGGTTGAGTTGTATATCACTAGTTATCTCTTTTCATGCCCTTAACTTTAACTTTATATTTTCAAATCTAAGTTCTAAGACAGTTGTATCAAGTGCATGAACTTGGTTCTTCAAATTTTTTTTTTTTTAAATATACAAGCTTTTATTTCCAGATTTTTACATTATGCTTTTAAGAAGTTATACTCTTTTGATAACTATTCTTTTCCAGAACTTATATTCTTAGATTCATCAATTAAAGTTAGTAATAGTTCTGATAGTCTATCTTTAGAAATGAATTTAATTTTATCCTTTAGGTCTAGAAAACTTATCTCAGATTCTTCATCAGGTTCATCTTCAGATTCTCGAATAGCTATAAGAGCTCGTTCAACATCGTTGTCATCAACATTAATGTCCTCAACTAAACTCTCATTCCAAGTAACAACAATTGCTTTGGATGGCCTTTTTTTGTAGTTTTTCTTGTCATGAATTTGTTCCTTCTTCCGGTTCCTTATTTTAAATCTATCTTCTTTCCACTCGACTTCCCGCATAAGACAGTTCTTGATCATGTAATTCTGCTTATCACATTTGAAGCATCCATCAATCATCTTCAAGTGATAGTGGCCATTGGATAATGGTCGCCTAGTGGTGGATTGCTCTTTATAGTTTTTACGTAGTGCACTCATCTTGATATTTTTCTAAGATATTAGCCTCTTCAAGAAAAATCTTCTCTGATACCAATTGATATTTTATATTTCAATATCATACAAGAGGGAGAGATGATTTGTGTGGTGCCCAATTTTCGCGTGCACTGGACTATCAAAGGATTTAGTTCTTCTTTGCATTTCTTACACTATAGTTGTGGATTAAATAATGCAAAAAGTAAAGAACACAAGAGATTTTTACGTGGAAATCATCCGGCTCAAAAGGTGAAAAAATACGACATACTACCCAGTAGGATTTTTTCAAAACACTTCATTACAACTCTGAGCCAAAAATAAAGATTTCAAATTCTTGCAAACCTAAGGATTAACTCTAACTGTTATAGCAACACACCACAGGCTGTTGCGACTATTTCAAGTTAAATCTAACTTGAAAGATACAATTCAAGTTTACAACCTCTTGCAAACCTAAGGATTAACTCTAATCCTTATAGCAACACGCCACAGGTTGTTGCGACTACTTCAAGTTAACTCTAACTTGAACAATACAACTCAAGTACCTAGTACAATTTGCTTCTAAGAAAGCTGAAAGGTACAACTCAAAACGCCTACTATATTTTGAACTAGAAATAAAGAAAGACACATAAAACTCTTTATGGAACTGGTTCTTCAATCTGGTTCGTGTAGTTTCAGGATCACACTCTTAAATCTCACATGAATCGCTCACAAAATGCCTTGCTATTGCCTTGCTATTTTGCTGTCAATTCGTGCTTTCACTTTTGCATGTGCATGTCACCTGTAGAAGAGAATACAACTGATATTTATAGAGTTAGTAAAATAAGGATTAACTAGAGTTTTAATGCTTTACTCTTCCTTGGTTGAATGGTTCTAGTTATCTTCAATTTCTAACTCCTTCCTTATTTTGGATAGAGTTCTCTTCAAGTAAGGAGTCTTGTTCCTTGTCAAATATGTAACATTTTCGTTCAGGAAATATCATAAATAACCACTTATACATATCTCTTTCACGTGTATGCCTTTTGCTTGATTCTGGACTGTCACATGTGTACACTGTCCATGGACCTTGTTCATACATGTGCTCCTTTGTCAATCATCAAAACTAAACCTAATCAGGTCAACACAAATCATGTAATATACGATTTCATTTTTCGACCTTGAATTAAGAAACATATTTTTCCAATAATACACTTATCTGCAACGAAATTTGTACGTAGAGAGACCAGAAAGAAATTTCAAGAGACTGTCCAAACAACAACAGTGAACCCAACTCCATTTCAATCAACAATTCCTTGACATCACAATTTTATATTTCAATTGCTCTGCAATGAGACACTCAACTAAACCCAAGCAAAGCAGATCATGACATATCCAATGGTCAAATGTATCCTCTTAAAGCTACCAGTGAAATCTCTTTCACAGTTCAAAAGTACCTGCAAATCATGGTGTTCCTCCATCAATGAACCCAAGTTCATCAAGTTGCATCGACATGAATCATCTTCATATTAATCTTCAAAAGATTCTCTTTGTTACTTTCGAAGAAATATACCAGTATCATATTTTTTATATAAAATTACGTACCCAGCTGTACCCATGGGCGTATCTAGGCCTTAGGTATGGATTCACGTGAACCTATACTTGTCTGTGTAGACCATGTATAATAATATTATATATTTTCAAATTTACTTAAATATGTGTGCTTGCACCCATGGTCATAGATTCTTATGGTGCAATAAGTATTGGGTACACCTCTACGAGTAAAATTGGTGGTTCAAATCTCATTTTGGATAATCTTGTTTTTGGCATAGAGCATAGATATATACGTAAAAATCATTAAAAATTTAAAAAGAAAATAATTTTGAACCTATAATTTCAAAAGTATAGTGAGTTCATGGTTAGAGACTAAAGTTAAACACATGATCTAGATCTATCTCTTTACAATAGTGCACTCATCCTCTTGAAATTATGGATCCGCATATGGCTGTACCTCTGGGTGTGTTGTATTACCAAAAACGATTAGAGGGGGCTTTACCTTATCTCAAGTTACAACACAGATTGGTGATACCATCACCTCAAAAAAACCAGAAGGAATAACAAAATTACATTTTCCTACTGGGAAAGGATTATATACATTAACTAACATGGAAGTTGGCTTTGTCACAGTTTGTCCTAATACTAGGCATTTGAATTTTGTCTAGCTGAAATGCTCCTTTCGTATTTCTGGGAAGTTGATGATAAGAGTTAATAAATCAATTCGTGTCCCCTTATTGACGCCAACTTGGCTAAACAATTCGCTACATGATTACCCTCCCTATAGCAATGAGTAACATACATTCCAGTTTGCTCTTTGATGTCAAGAATGTTGCCGATCGATGACCTGTTTAAGCTTCAGATTGGCGTAATGGCTATCTTGCAGCATGTTGGCTATCACCATGGAGTCAAGTTCCAAAGTGAAATTAGTATAGCCCTGTTGGTTACATCATTTCGCTCCAAACTCAGCTGCCAAAGCTTCTGCCATACTATTGCTCTTGCATTTGATAGTGATAGAAAAGGCCATAATAAAATCCTCATTATTGTCCCTAATTATGCCACCAATTCCAGCTTTATCGTTATCCTTTAAGCAGCTGCCACCATAACTAGTATCATATATTTACTGCTAAAATCCTGTCAACAGAAGTATCACTTAGTGTTGATTCCAAAGTTCTATTGCTTGACTCGCCCTTCCCATGATTCTGCAAAGAAGTTTCTTATGTTGAAACGCGTTCCTGCAATGGTTTGGTCTTTATGGAAAATGATCGCAATATCATGTTCTGTAATCCTGCAATTCGAAAATACAAACTGATCCCCAAGCCTAATGTATTGTTACAATAAAGTTGGACATATACACCACTAATTGGTTTTGCCTATGATTACAATTTGTAAGCGAAAAGTATCAGCATCACGACGTTCAAATATTCTCAGTTACACCATCTGTCTCATATTAACAGTTTACTAAAAATAGTTCTCTCAAATTATTTGTCATTTTAGAAGTTTAAGATAAAATTAATTATTTTTTTCCTTTGTTTACCCTTTAGTAATAATTGTTTTTGAAGATTGAGATAATGCATAAATAGAATAAATATTCAATGAAAAGAGATTATATTTTAAGACATAAATAAGGGGAGAATAGTTTAATCTCTTTTCTAATTAATATTTCTTAAGGAGCGTGTAATAGAGAAACACGACACATAATATGAGACAGAGGAAGTAATAATCAGTCTTGGAAAAGGATAAACACTTTTCCTGTTATATATATAGTTGGTTTTCGGTTCTCCGACCAAATACCAGTTTTCATTAAACAGTAACATCAACATTATGGCCACTTCAGTTAGAGGCTGGCTAGGGAACCTGAACAATTTGAGCAAATTCTTGAACTACACTTTGAAGTAATTTTTCATGAAAAAATGTAACTAATGTATACAGAGCAAAATTTGAGCAATGATTAATTTAATTCTCATATGTTGAATCGTGTAAATTTTTTGTTCAATTGAATCTCATAGATATAGAACGAAATAGGTTTACCCATGAAGATATTCGTTTTATTGTTTTGATTTTATTAAGTCGAACCAAATAATTACTTACCTCGAAATAAAATTAAGTAATTGGGACTAATTAAAATGAATCTCCAATTACCTCCTCTATGTCTAAATTAAAATTGATTATTATCAATCTTTTATGCTACAGATAAAATGAAGAGCTATGGATCTTCGAGTTGTGCTCTTAAAATATTATATGTGCAGTCTAAGGATGAGACAGGTCATATAATTGATCTTGACAGTGAGGAGCTCTCGTAAAATCTTGTGCCGGTGAAAGGTATCAGATAATCTATACACCATAATTATCCCAATAAAAAACAAACTGAGCATTAAAACATAGCATCTCGGTGGATTAGATTTGTATGATTTAATCACCTAAAAATACCACAGTAGTAAATCCAATATTCTGTCCAAATTATCACAAAAAATCTGTTATCTATGATCTCAATTTGGGGTCTGGTGCAGGTGACATTTGGAGACATTGGCATAGCCGAATACACATTCATGATGAATGATTAAAAGGAAAAAGAAAATAATAAATCCAAAAACTGAGAAAAACAGAAAGAGAAATCCGAATGAAGAAGCATAAAAAATAATGGCAGAGTTACACATTGGGATTCAAATTGTACTATACTAAGATAAAATTTTACGAAGACGGGGATTGACCACTTAACAGAATCTATAATGAGATATTCTTGTTGGGTCAATCCCATAGCCATGTGAAAAGATAAGTTTTCTTTGGCTTTGTCAAGCCTACCAATTTAATAGTAGAAAAGGTTTGGGCAGCAATTAATCTTTGATTTCACGTGTAGAAGTTGACTTTTCAGTAGACATTGATGTCATTGCCTACATGGCATTTTGTAACTATAAATATGTATATTTACTTTCATTTGTAAACACACCAAACGGATAGAAAATGAGTGATTTACCGAGTAAGAAGCAAAATACTCTATAACGAAAAAATATAGAGAGTTTGAGCGGTATTAATTTGTAGTGAGCTGGAAAAATCAAAAAAGAGTTATTTCTTTTGAGTGTGTAGCAATATTGTAGTATCTTACTCGGCACCACAAATTATAAAATCCTTGCTATAGTAAAATCAATTGCTCCTATCGGGCTGTGATTTTTTCCCTTATTCAAAAGGATTTTTCACGTAAAAATCTCGGTGTCCTTATTTCTCTTATTATTACCGTTGGTTACTGTATTCTATTAATCACATTTATTATAGTCGTATATCGTGACTATTATTTATGTGGGGGTTAATTTTTCCAACAACTGGTATCAGAGCACAGGTTCTGCTCATTCAAAAAAATATTATTTACAGTCAATTTTACTTCGTGACAAAAAAAATGTTAGGATTAAAATATGAAGTAACAAGATTCAATGGTAATGACGGTTTCTCAATATGGCAAAGAATGATGAAGGACATACTCGTCC